GTTTGTTTGGTTCCAGGTTGAGGTTCACTTTTCGATAAACCATATTATAAATGGTCTTACATTGTTGTTTAAATGTTTGTTTGGTTCCAGGTTGAGGTTCACTTTTCGATAAACCATATGATAAACGATCTTACATTGAATGTTTGTTGCAAATATTTCGTGCAAAGCTACACAAACGACTATTTCCTTAAGATTGAACAGATAGACCAGAAGGAAGACAGATAGTTAACAGTAACCACCGCCAATTCTCGAGCTATTCATGCCCGACCAATCATGGGATTTGACCTTCGTTCTTATAACGCAATACAGTCCCAAAATGTGGATGCGTTATAACGGCAACGAGCCGAGAATCGATAACCCTCAGATTTCCGAGAACACCAACTAGTAGACCATCCCTGCTACATAATGTGATTGGAATTATAACGTACCTCAATTCAATGAACAGTTTTATTTACCCGCACATGTTATATATTTGTAGCAATTCACTAGCTCTAAAAGTGAAGTCATTCGTTAAAACGACGACATTCACATTGATAACATTTGTTTTACACCAAATGTGTTATCAGGGTGCACGAGTTCGGGCTGCAAGTTAAAATGAGTTTTCACTTGGATGCAGAAAGAAACGGGTGTGGATGTTACTAGTTTGTTGTTTCAGACCATATATCTCTCAGAACAATTGCGCAGAAAGTTTTTACCTAACGTAAAGTCAATAAATTTGTCCAAACTGTAAAAGAACATCGTCATGTCAAGTTGTTGATGTGTAGCATTTCAGGTGTGGTGTTTTATACAAAACACTACTAATTCCTAAGTCTAGGAGGTGAAAACTTTAGTGACCGATATCTCCTACAATCTTCACTTTATTTACCTTGACCACAAGTACATATTATTACACGTTTTTTCGTCACATGGCCACTGACGTATTTGTACATTATTTGTCACGGTGATTTTACACGTTAGATTTACTGCATCTCCTTTATATAGAACTATAGAAATTTAATGTTATCACTCATATTTTTGTTCATAAATTCTAGTTGTCAGGATACAGAATAGCAATATAAGCACGTTTACTCTCTGAAAATCTAAACAGTCAGTGATGATAAAATGCGAAGTCTGGTAATACCATTTTCCGTTTTCTGCTGTGCATGTCAATTGTTCAATAGTCTGTTGCTAAGGTAACGACATGACTTCATCTATTTAAGGGCTGACTTGTACTTTGGCTCTTAATATTAAGATGATTAATATTCTGCAATGCTTATATATTGGTATTCGCCGTTGAAACTAACTTTATGCCATGATTATCAGTGAAAGGTAGAGTTTGATCCATCACCGTTGGCATTTGTGAAAAGTGAATGGAAAAGTCTAGGCGTCATTCTAATGGAAACTCTCAACTCATATGGTGCTTTACACCAACGTAATTAACATGCGATAGACCATTATACAAAGTCATTGTACACCAGTATCCTGACATGCTTCAAGTAAATTAATTTTGCTTCTTTTCCCTCAAAACATAAGAACTGCATTAAAAGATTGAGTGGATTACCTGGTATTATATCGAGACGAAGACTTTTCACGGACATCCGTACGTAAATAGTACAGTACAAACTAGGCATTAATGTATGTGATACAACATAAAAGTATGTCTACATACAATAAGTACACACATAAGATACGCTTACATCTAATACACCGAATAAACACGTATAGATATCATGCAGAATATAATAGAAACGATTAAATGTAATACAACGTACACTTACATATAATGCAATTCATACAGTACAGACGATAAGACGCAATATACCGTAAAAATATTTGTACGTTACCAAACGTACAGACATGTTTGCATATAATACACCATACATTAGACACGTGTAGTAAAAATTGATTGCAGAACAGAAGCATTGCGCGTTATTTTAATAAATACTCA